AGCGAATATCATTCAAGTGACTCAATCGACTCGTTCAATCAGTAGGTATGTTTCGGATCGGAAATATGAACGATCCATCACTGGCCGACTGTTTCTGAGCTTTGAGATCTACAGAGATGCCAAAGGCGGTTTCGAACACGGACATTTCGTCCTTAGTCTCCTCCATATCTATCTTCAGTGACTATTCCATCGAATCTACTCATCGAATCACCAGCCTTTGGTCCAATTATGGCTCCATTGATCGAGTTTATCTGAGGAGTAAGGACCCTGTTGCAGGAAGAAATACGGGAGGTCTCGGTACAATATCCCTCATTATCAAGACTGTACAGCCCCCACCTCCTAAGGGCAAAGATTCCAAGGATGAAGGGCACCTCCGGAAGCTGCTATCTTACAAGGTAGAGCAGTACTTCTATACCCATTTATCCAGTCGGTTGCCGAAAGAGGCGAAGGTAGCGACCCACTATTCCCCAGTAGAAGTCCAATCTGTCGAAGGACCAGTCAAGTTGGTTCTGGAGGATCTCTCCCCTGCCTTTCCACATCCCGCGTACGGGAGCTTAAACCTAGAAGATATGACAACCGTACTCAACTGGCTCGCGAATTTTCATGGAACATTCTGGGGTTTCCATCGCAATACTGGGATACAGAAATATTTAGTTCCTCCACCCTTGGAATATCAGGGTGGTCAAGTCTCAGGAATATGGAGCCAAGGAACGTATTGGTATTTGGACACCCGACGAGAGGAGCATCAGAGTGTTGATGAAGACGAATACGGCTGGCTGTTGAAATGGACTGACAAAGTAAGGCTGGTATTCTTACCAGATTCTTCTCCCTAATATAATTTGGAATTAATGGAACGTTGATTCATCGGTTCATATAGGTGGACAGGAGTATGAAAGAAGAAACAAACAAGTGGGGTACACTTTTACATGGGGATGTTAAAGGAGCGAACATTGTCTTCTCAGCAGACTCCGGAGGATCACGACGCTGCGCCCTTTACGACTTTCAATATGCAGGACTTGGTTTGGTAACACGGGATCTCGTGTATTTCATCGGCACGACGGCGCAATCAGCATCAATTCGACGTATCGAGCAAGAAAAAGAAATTCTACGAGCGTATCATTCCGAACTTCTTCGAACGATTGCAAGTCGGCAGAATCATGATCAAACAACTGGCAACTCTACTGTGGGAAGCAGAAGTGACTCTGAGGGGTACACGTTCCCAACCTTATGGAGGCATTGGGAAATAGCCATTGTAGACTGGTATCGATTTATGGCTGGTTGGGGATTTTGGGGGAATGATTCGTGGGTCGAGCGTCGAGCTAAGGAGATAGTATTGGGATGGGACGAGCACACGCTCACTATTTGACGACTTAAACCCATAGATAATCAAGAAACTAGTCTAAGGGATCAAATATGATTGATTTTGTTACCTGTCCTTTTTGTTTTTTTTAATCTCCAAGGCGAGCCAAGTTTCTTAGACTAATCGCCGTCTTTGCCATGGTGGACAGCCCTGGGATAATTCAACTCCATAATTTGCCTATTCGACACAGATTTTAGTATCCGACTGGTATAAACTATTATTCACACAACATGAAGCACTGTGTCGCCGATTGTGGCCAACTGAAGGCTTCGACGCAGCCGAGTCGACTCATTCATTGAAATACATTAGGTTTGCTGCCTCATTTGTTTATACTAGTTACGTGTTTATCGATTCCGTCCATACGACTCCAGAAAATGTCGATTTCAGTACCAAGAGCAGATGTCTGTGGTTTGATTTCTTCCATACCGGCGTTTGCGGACTCTGTAATCGAATCAACCAGTCGAATCACGAATCTTT